TATGCATAGCCCATGAACAAAGAATAATTCAGGGGAAGGCCTCGGGTGGGGGCGGGAGGTGGGTGGAGGGGTTCAATGGAGGATAAAAAGAGGACATCTGTAATGCTTTCAACAATAAAGATTGTTTAAAATTTTTTAAATTATATTTTGAGAAAAAAATCAATACTCATTTTGATTTCTCAACTTTAAACAATGGAATGCTGACAAAGCACCCTGCTATACATTCACCCAACCACCTGTCACCAACATCAGCCTCTAACACAAAGAACTATTTTTATGTAGTACCCTACGGAGATAGATAATATCCCATTGCCATGGCAACAAGTTTTCCAGAACATACATTAGCCCATGAAGAATGCAAAAGAGAACAAAGCTGTTTCTTTGCATTTGCCCTTACTTTACAGTACATGAGGATAATTCTTAAAAAATGTAAGGCCTCAGTTTGCTCAATAGGTCTTAGTGAGTCTAAGCCAGGGGTCCTCAAACTTTTTAAACAGGGGGCCAGTTCACTGTCCCTCAGACCGTTGGAGGGCTGGACTATAGTTTTAAAAAAAAACTAGGAACAAATTCCTATGCACACTGCACATATCTTATTTTGAAGTAAAAAAAAACAAAATGGGAACAAATACAATATTTGTATTTGCATGTGGCAGAGCGGGGCTCCAGCTGTGGGAGCACACTGACCACCAGGGGACAGCTCCTGCGTTGAGCGTCTGCCCCTGGTGGTCAGTGCATATTGTAGCAACTGGTCATTCCGCTGTTCAGCCTATTTGCATATTAGCCTTTTATTATATAGGATATGCTTTCTACTCCCCTGAACTAATTCATCTCCGGTCCTAATGCGACCTTTCCACCATGTGCCACTTACTCCTGGCAGAATCTCCAATGCTCTGAACAAGAACAAGCATTGCAACTCATGAAACTGCCCCACTCTGATCAAAAAGCACAGACACTCCATATCCAAATGCAGACAGACAACCCCATAGTCCTCAAGGTTTCCCTAGATAAGTGCAAAAAGCAGCTCAGATGGGTCAGTTGCTCCTGTCCAGCCCTCTCTTGTGCCTCCTAGAGGTCATACACCCAGACCTTGCTTGGCACAAATGGACTTCCCTCTCTCCCAACACAATCCATGCCCCATTTTCTGTAGGATTCAACGCAGTGGTTCCCAGTCCAGATTGTAGCCTCTGCTGGCCTTCCCTCTATATATTCCCGCAGTACACCCAACCCTTCTTTATCCCCTCTACCCATGAGGCTGGCCTCTATAAGCTTCAACACCCAGGCTCCCCTGTCCCTGATTTCCACTTGGATGAAGACAGTGAGGGGCACTTCAGCACATCAGAGGGCAGGAGAGTGGGTTATCTGCCCCTCAGCACATCATTCCCTCCCTGGACACAGCTCTAGCAATGGCTGCATTCTTCTAGACTACTGTGTCTGTTTGGGAGCCACCTTTCAGAGCTCCAGCAACAACATCCCCTCCCCTGGCCACCTCAGATCTATGGAAGGCACTGGCTTCCTGCTGTTGCAAGTCTCTCTATGCCTCAATGCCCCTGCTTTTAGTAAAACCATCTGAGCTTGCTATTTTCTGCAGGGCTCTGAATTTATTTTTTAATATAGATATTTCTTATTGTTGATAGCATTACAGATGTCTCCCATCCCCCCCCTTTAGGGTCCTGAATTTCTGATGACTTACTTGGCTTCAAAGTTTGATCAACTTTGACCCTAGGCTGACCCATGCTGTCTCTAGGCTCCAACATTCCACAGAAGCTCCTTAGAAAATGTCCCAAAACCCTTTCTTTCTCTCTCTCTCTCTCTCTCTCTCTCTCTCTCTCTCTCTCTCACACACACACACACACACACACACACACACACACACAATCACCCTTTAAGGAAGAATCCCAACATTTACACAGAATTGCTATGAAATCAATAGCCTCTTCATTAAGGCAGCATCAGGAAATTTCCCTGTCATTTTTAGTTTGTCCCTTCAACAAAGACTGAGTTTCAACCCAAATAATTATGAAAGGTATTACCAGAAGTCACTTATCTCTGTGACCTTGGTGAAGTTACTGAACTTCTGCACCTCCATTTTGTTTTCTTCAAATTGGAGACAATAATACCTATCTAGTAGTTTGGTTGTGAGAATTAAATAAAATGAACTTGTGCCAAGTTATGGGACAAGGCCAAGTACATGGCAATCAGTAAATAAATGGTAGCTGCTACTATGAAGGTTTTCATCATATATCTACAACCAGAGTACATTTTTGCTGCAGGGGACACTTGGCAATGTCTGAAAACATTTTTTTGTTTTAGCACCTAGGGGAGGGACAGATACTGGCATCTAATGGGTAGAAATTAGGGGTGCTGCTAGACATCCTGACACAGACCAAAGTGTTGACAGTGCCGAGGTAGAGAACCCTTGATCTAGAACAATGAATAAATTAAAAGAATCTAAAACATCCACATGCTAAAGCAGGGGTCCTCAAACTTTTTAAACAGGGGGCCAGTTCACTGTCACTCAGACCGTTGGAGGGCCGGACTATAGTTTAAAAACAAACTAGGAACAAATTCCTATGCACACTGCACATATCTTATTTTGAAGTAAAAAAACAAAATGGGAACAAATACAATATTTGTATTTGCATGTGGCCCGCGGGCCGTAGTTTGAGGACCCCTGTGCTAAAGTGCACCTGCTTTACTTCCATTGCCATCTCTCAGTAGTAGGACTATGAAGGTACCAGGGTGTACGCAAAGGAGAGGAATTGAAAATTTGAAAGCGATCCTAAAGAAAAAAAAAACTAAAAAAGCAAGCACACCAAACATCTCCAAGGACAAAAATCTGTTCACATATAATCATGTTTTTCACAAGGCTGACCATGAACTAAGGGAGAAACAAAGAGATTATTGTATTAAATATGTTCTTTTGCAGGCATGGGGCAAATATTACACATTTAAGAAAGCCTGCTTTTAAAAAAAACAATTTGTAATTGCTGGCATTTATGGGTATACTTCAATTAGTCAGGAAATTAACACAGGTGAACCACTTAATTACCCCCAGGAGGCTGAACAAAGATATTTTTCTGTAAACCAATGGCAAAGTGTTAGAAATGAATTAAGTCAAAACAAACATTTACTACTAGCCTAATGTTAATAGCCTCTCCTGTTCATGAATTAATTCTAAAGATAGCTAGGTTTCTCTAGTCACTTAAAAATCACTTCTTCCTTCAAGTCATGGTCCAGCCAGTCTTGGAAGTAGAAATATTAGTGGTAAATAAAAGAGGCCCAACAGCCAGCTGGCACCTGCTCCAGAGGGACTCTCTGGAGTGAGGCGGAGCTGAGAGGGCCAGATAGAAAGGTCAAGAGCACAGAGAGCTCAGGGCCAGGACTACAGGGTCTGCAGAGACTGCAGCGTAAGGTCCTAGAGCAGCGGTTCTCAACCTGTGGGTCGCCAATCTGTGGGTCGCGACCCCTTTGGGGGTCGAATGACCCTTTCACAGGGGTCACCTAAGACCGTCGGAAAACACATATATAATTACATATTGTTTTGTGATTAATCACTATGCTTTCATTATGTTCAATCTGTAACAATGAAAATACATCCTGCATATCAGATATTTACATTACGATTCATAACAGTAGCAAAATTACAGTTATGAAGTAGCAACAAAAATAATTTTATGGTTGGGGGTCACCACAACATGAGGAACTATATTAAAGCGTCGCGGTATTAGGAAGGTTGAGAACCACTGTCGTAGAGGAAGCAGAGCATTCATTCACTCTGGGCTTCCTTTCCCCTTGTAAGACGGACTAGAGGGGGAGGGACCTGGGCTGGCCAGTAGTGCTACTGCCATTCTGACTTTGGAAATAATAAACTCTGAAAACTGGAATTTCTAGTCCTGACACCTCAGAGCAGGGCTTCTTAACCATTTTTATGCTGTGGCCCCCTTTGGCAGTCTACATGTACCTCTTCTCAGAATGTGTTTAAATGCATAGAATTAAACATTTAAAATACATAGCATTATTAGTACAAACAAAATATATTGAAATGCAGCTATCAAAATATTAAAAAACAAGTTTCTGGTAGTAACACATTTGTTTCTTTATTAATACAATGAGTAAGATCAGCCAATGTGTCTAAACTATTGTAAATTGTCATTGAATTATTTGAAACAATTGTGATATGATTTTTTAAATATCCTATTTCTACAGGTGATAAGGTCACAGGTACTGCTAATCCTTCTGTGGTTTGTTGTGTACATGCATAATAGAAAGAAATGCTCGATTTCAGTCAGGGGTTAGTATAAAGATGTATTTTTCCCACATCTAAATTCACAGCCCCTGAACTGGACCCTGCTTTAGAGTATTCTGTGCTGGAGTGGGCATGCAGGGCATTCACATCACTTTTTTTCCTGCCTCCTACTCGTTGAGAGGAAAAACAAACTGCCTAAAGGCTAAAATTGGAAATAATAACTTAGAAGATATATATTTGCCAGTTCTACTTGGCATAAAAAATGAATTATGTATGCAAGTGTTTTTAGGAAGATAACAAAATTTGAAATGAGTGGTGAAGATAGATAGATAGATAGATAGATAGATAGATAGATAGATAGACAGACAGACAGATAGGTATTCTGGCCACATAAAAACTCATCAGAATAATTTTCTGCTTCAGAAAACTCTGAAAGGCAAGTGTGGTGGAAAGACCCTAAGGTTCCTCTCACCCCAAATAATTCTCACTTCCTGGTGTCTGTGCTTTTGTAGAATCCTCTCCCCTTGAGTGCAGACAGAACCTGTGACTTGCTTCTAACCAACGGAATATGGCAAACATGATGGGATGTCACTCATCTAAGTCAACTGGAGAGAATCTCCTGCTGATCTCAGAGGAGCAAACAGGCATCTTATGAACTGCCTATGGAGAGAGCCATGTGGCAAGGAACTGCGGGGTGGCCTCTAGGAGCTGAGGGCTTTAGTCCTAAAATCACAAGGAACTGAATTGTACTAACAACCTCATGAGCTTGGAAGAGGTCTCCAAGCTCCAGAAAGGAATGCTGTTCAGCCAACACCTTGATTTCGGCCTTGTAAAACTCTGAGCTGAAGACCCAGTTAAGCCATGTCAAGACTCCTGACCCACAGAAATAATGAGATAATAAATGTATTGCTTAAAGCTGCAATTTAAATTAATGGAAATTCATTATAAAGTAATAGGTAACTAATGCAGTAACCAATGGGGGTGGGGGGGCGGAAGACGACTATCCTAGTTTGCCTAGGACTGTCCTGGTTTGAAAACTGAAATCTCCACATCCCAGTAAACACCTCAGTCTGGAGCAACCCAGGTTAGTTGTTTGCCGCTATGATCTGAACGTTTGTCCCCCGCAAAATTCATATGTTGAAATCCTAATGCCTGACATGATGGTATAAGAAAATGGGGCCTTTGGGAAATGCTTAGGCCAGGAGGGTGGAGTCCTCATGAGTGGGATTAGTGCCCTTATAGTAAGAGGCCAGAAAGCTCGTTAGCCCTTTCCACTATGTGAGGACAGGACAAGAAGGCACCAGATATCTACCATGAAGGGGCCTTCACCAGACCCCAAATATGCAGATCTTGGACTTCCAGCCTCCAGAACTGTGATCAATAAATATCTATATCTATAAGCAACCAGTCTGTAGCAATTGTTATAGCAGCCCAAACAGACTAAGACAGTTGCCCACCCATAGACATGTACCAAAGAACAGAATTATATAATACAAAATACTAAATGCTTGCCTTTAGAAAACATAGAAAGTTTCAAAAAACCTGGAAAGGACCCAAACCCTCTTTAAAAACTAACCAGTAATGCCCGGCCAGTGTGGCTCAGTGGTTGAACGACCTATGAACCAGGAGGTCACAGTTCGATTCCCGGTCAGAGCACATGCCATGGTTGTGGGCTCGATCCACAGTGTGGAGTGTGCAGAAGGCAGCCAATCAATGATTCTCTCTCATCATTAATGTTTCTATCTCTCTCTCCCTTCCTCTCTGAAATCAATAAAAATATATTTTTTAAAAAAGAAACATCAATGATAAGAGAGAATCATTGATCAGCTGTCTCCTGCATGCCCTACACTGGGGATCAAGCCCACAACCCCGGCATATGCCCTAACTGGGAATCGAACCGTGACCTCCTGGTTCATAGGTCGACACTTAACCACTGAGCCACACCAGCTGGGCATCTCTCCCTCTCCCTTCCTCTCTGAAATCAATAAAAATATATTTTTCAAAAAGTTACCAATAATTAGTAAAACAAGTTAAGATTTCCTCAAAATCAATTTTCTATACCCTTAAAGTAGGGCAGTCCCTAGTTATGAGTATGAAACTAGGACAATCTTCAAATCCATCTTATATTTCTAGTCTTCACCTTGTTACTTTTTCCATCTCCCTGTTGGTTTCCCCAATTATTCTAAATCAGTTCTCAAACATTCTTATCTTAAAGACTGCCAATGGCTTGATTGCGTGGAACCATCAATCAGTCTTGCCATTTGACCATAGACCAGAGTTACTTTTCTGACCATATTAAATCCCTGGACGTTTCATCTCCTCTAATCAACCCCAGATTTCTTCCTTAAATATAAAACCTATGAATCATATGATGTCTGAGATTTTCTTCAGGATAATAGAAGGGGACGGGAACAAAGGTGGGAATGCAGATAGAATAGAATTGATCATGTATTGACGGTTGTTCAGCCTGGGTGACAAGTGCAGACGAGTTTAATGTACTTTTCCATCCACTTGTTTGTTTGAAATTTTCCATTTTAAAAAATATGAGAAAAAAGCAGGCCTATGAAAGCCTCTAACACTCTCAAGAATATCAGTGTGCACTTTGGTATCTATGAAGGCATTTTTAATATTTGTACATGTTTAGAACAGTCCCCCTGTCATATGATTCTATATAAAGAAAAATGCCACCTACTTTCCTTAGGCATGAAGGTCTCTACAACACCATAATTATGAGTGGGTAATGAAGATTTTTAAAAAGGAAACATAAGGCCCTGGCCAGGTAGCTCAGTTGGTTAGAGTGTCATTACGATACGCCAAGGTTGTGGGTTTGATCTCTAGTCAGGGCACGTACAAGAAACAACCAATGAGGAAAACAAATCTCTCTCTTCTCTACTCTTCCCCTCCCCTCCCCTCCCCTCCCCTCCCCTCCCCTCTCTTCTCTCTCTCTCTCTCTCTCTCTCTCTCTCATCATAGATTTTTTAAAAGGAGACATAGCCCTAGCTGGTTTGGCTCAGTGGATAGAGCGTTGGCCTGCGAACTGAAGGGTCCCGGGTTTGATTCCAGTCAAAGGCACATGCCCGGGTTGTGGGCTCGACATACATCCCCTGAGGGGTCCCGGACTGCGAGAGGGCACAGGCCGGGTTGAGGGACCCCTCCCCCAGTGCATGAATCTCGTGCACCGGGCCTCTAGTAGTTAATAATAGTGTACTGTATACCTGAAAGTTGCTAAGAGGGTAAATCAAATAATCTCATCACAAGAAAAAAATTTGTAAGTGTGTGGTGATGGATGTTAACTAGACTTACTGTGGTAATCATTTCACAATATATACAAATATAAAATGACTATGTTGTATACCTGAAACTAACATAATGCTATATATGTCAATTATATCTCAATGAAAAATAAAGACATTATTTCAAAACAAAAAGTTAACTATCATAAAAATAATTATGACTGCCTGAAATATGCACATCATCCCCAGAGACTAAGATACCATCCTAAGAGATAGATATTATAAAGGACTCTATAAAGTCTGTTAATTCATTATGTCATACACAAAAGTTGCCAGTTTAAGGTAAACATTTTTTTCTAGATGCCATACTTCAAATATTTTCTTACTCAAACTGAAGAATAAAAACATTGGCATTGGAATGTAAGCTCCATGAGGACAGGGATTTGTGTTTGATTCATTGCTATAACTGTAGCAGTTAGAACAGTGTCTATCTGATGCACAATAGAATCTCAAATGACTCAAATACCCTTCAAACCCAAACCTGATTCCCACCACACCCTATGCCTTCTAATAAAATGCTAGCCATCGAATACCAATGAGATACTTCACAACCTGGGAAACCCATAACTCCAACATTTCTAGTTCTTTGTCTTAAAGTATTAAACAAAAACTATTTACCTGTTTCTCAGACATTGATATGCTCCTTTTTTAATTTAAGTGTTTCATTCTACCGTTTTTCTAGCTAATACTAAAATCCTGCTTTTAAAATGAATCAGCACATAAACATAAATACTCTACAAAGGGTCCAAAAGGCCTTTTAAAATAGGTTATTTTGATGCATTAAAATAATTCAAGATGGCAAATAAGCACATGAAAAGATACTCAAAATCATATGTCATTAGGGAATTGCAAATTAAAAGAACAATGAGCCCTAGCCAGTGTGTTCAGTGGTTAGAGTGTCGCCCTGCACACTCAAGGGTGGCAGGTCCAATACCCTGTCAAGGGCACGAACTTGGGTTGCAGGTTAGATCCATGGGAGGTAACAAATGGATGTTTCTTTCTCTCTTCCCCTCCTTGCCTCATTCCCTCCCTCCCCCTCTTCCGCTCTCCCTCCCTCCCTTCCACTCTCTTTGAAAATCAATGGAAAAAATATCCTCCGGTGAGGATTAACCAAAAATAAAATAAAAAGAACAATGAGATACAACTACATACCCATTAAAATAGTCAAAATCTTGAAAACTGACAACAAATGCTCACAAGAATGTGGAATAGCAAGAACTCTTATTCATTGCTAGGGGCGAGGTTGCAAAATGGTACATCCACTTTGAAAAACAGTTTGGCAGTTTCTTATAAAACTAAACATACTTTTACCATATGATCAAGCAATCATGATCATTGGTATTTACACAAAGGATATGAAAACCTAAGCACACACAGATGTTTATAGCAACTTTATCCATAATTGCCAAACTTTTTTTTTTAAATATATTTTATTGATTTTTTACAGAGAGGAAGGGAGAGAGATAGAGAGTTAGAAACATCGTTGAGAGAGAAACATTGATCAGCCGCCTCCTGCACATCTCCTACTGGGGATGTGCCGGCAACCCAGGTACATGCCCTTGACCGGAATCGAACCTGGGACCTTTCAGTCCACAGGCCGACGCTCTATCCACTGAGCCAAACCGGTTTCGGCCATAATTGCCAAACTTAAAAGCCACCTAGATGTCCTCCAATTGCTGGATGGATAAATAAACTCTGGTACATCCAGACAATAAAATATTATTCATCACTAAAAAGAGAGAAGCCATCAAGCTATGAAAAGATATGGAAGAATCTTAAATGCATATCACTAAATGAAAGAAACCAATCTGAAAAGATTACATACTGTGTGATTCCACTATATGACAATCTGAAAAAGGCAAAACTATGGAGAGAGTAAAAAGATCAGTTGCATGCCCAACCAGTGTGGATCAGTGGTTGAGTGACGATCTCTGAACCAGGAGGTTGAGGTTTGATTCCCAGTCAGGGCACATGCCCAGGTTGTGGGCTTGATCCCCAGTTCGGGGCATGGAGGAGGCAGCTGATCAATGATTCTCCCTCATCATTGATGTTTCTCTCTTTCCCTCTCCCTTCCTCTCTGGGATCAATAAAAATATATATTTTTTACAAGATCAGTTGCCTGCCAAGGGTTGGGGGTAAGAGGAAGAGATGAAGCACAGAGATGGAGCATACTGGATTTTAGGGCAGTGAAAATACTCTGTATGACATTATAATGATGGATACATGTCATTATACATTTGCCCAAACCCATAGATTGCACATCACCAAGAGTGAATCATAATGTAAACTATGAACTCTGGGTGATTATGATGTGCTAATGTAGGTTCATCAATTGTAACAAATGTACCACTCTGATGGGACATACTGATCATGGGAATAGCTGTGCAGGTGTGGGGGTGAGGGGCACATGGGAACTCTGTACCTTCCCCTCAGTTTTGCTGTGAACTCCAAACCGCTCTGAATAGTCTATTAAAATATATATATTTAGTAAATATTATATATTTCAACTGAAAAAAATTCCTAAGGTAATTCACTTCCATAACAAAGTAGCAGGTGTAGTGGTTTATTTTTATTCCAAGGAGAAGAAAAAATTAAGTATTTTTATAGAACACTTAATCCAGATAAGATTTTTGCCCTTCCTGGAACATTATGGTAATCTTAATTGTATGCTTATTAAGGAGAACATCTGACTGTTACTATAGAAACTACCTGAGCTGGTTACTGCCTTCATGATTTGAGCAGTTATACCTGTTGGGCCACTTAATCCTGAACTTACATATAAATATTTTTTAAAAATGGCTAATGTTGCCCAGCCGGTGTGGCTCAGTGGTTGAGCATTGACCCATGAACCAGGAGGTCAGGGTTTGATTCCCAGTTTGGGGCTTCATTCCCAGTAGGGGGCGTGCAGGAGGCAGCTGATCAGTGATTCTCTGTTGACATTGATGTTTCTATCCCTCTCTCCCTCTTCCTTCCTCTCTCTGAAATCAATAAAAACATATTGAAAGACGAAAGAAAGAAGAGAGAGAGTGAGAGAGAAAGAGAGAGAGAGAGAGAGAGAGAGAGAGAAGCTAATATACCTATAGCGGTGATGGCGAACCTTATGAGCTTGGCGTGTCAGCATTTTGAAAAACCCTAACTTAACTCTGGTGCCGTGTCACATACAGAATTTTTTTGATATTTGCAACCATAGTAAAACAAAGATTTATATTTTTGATATTTATTTTATATATTTAAATGCCATTTAACAAAGAAAAATCAACCAAAAAAATGAGTTCGTCCCTGACCGGTTTGGCTCAGTGGATAGAGCGTCGGCCTGCGGACTGAAGGGTCCCAGGTTCAATTCTGGTCAGGGCACATGCCTGGGTTGTGGGCACATCCCCAGTGGGGGGTGTGCAGGAGGCAGCTGATTGATGTTTCTCTCTCAGTGATGTTTCTAACTCTCTATCCCTCTCCCTCCCTCTCTGTAAAAAATCAATAAAATATATTTTTAAAAAAATGAGTTCGTGTGTCACCTGTAAAAACAATATTGGAGCCCAGCTGGTGTGGCAGCTCAGTGGTTGAGCATCAACCCATGAACCAAGAGGTCATGATTCGATTCCCTTGGCCAGAGCACATGTGCGGGTTTCCAGTTCGATCCCCAGTGCAGGGTGTTCAGGAGGTAGCTGATCGATGATTCTCTTTCATCATTGATGTTTCTGTCTCTCTCTCCCTCTCCCTTCCTCTCTCTGAAAATCAATAAAAACATATATTTTAAAGAAATACTGGATTACTCCGATTGTGCTAGGTTAATGGGGAAGGGTGCATTTTGTTTTGCTGGGCTGAAAGGGGGAGCTTAAAGCTCTGAGATTTACTACAAGCAATCTGCTGATCCCCTTTTGCCAGTCTTTTTGCAAGCAGATTTCCAGTGAACATTAAGAATAGAATCTCATTCGTGCAAAGGCACTGTGCCTTGGGTTCTTCTCAAATTACCTATACCTCAAGGGAGCATGGGTTCTAACACCAGGAAAGCCCTCTCCACAACTCCTAAGGAGCAGTCACCCAACATACTCAGATTTAATCTACACACCTTCTCACACTCCATGCATTACCAACAACATAAGCTTTAATAGGTGCCCAGCTGTCACTTGCTGTGTGGTCTGTCACTTATTCCTCTTTCAATGGGGAAGCAGTGACAGCATTTAATAAATTGATGATGCTTGGGAGTATTCTGAGGACCTGATGTAATAACCATGGTTTGTGTTTGAAGGCACTGACTTTTTCTCTACCTGGTCCAACTCAACTGCTCAATAGCAGTGGCACAACTGTCTACATATCAAGGACTTTTTTAATTTATTGGGGTGGCATTGGTTAATAATATGATACAGGTTTCAGGCATACAATTCTACAATATATCATCCGTATATTGTATTGCGTTTACCACCCCAAGGCATGTCTCCTTCCATCATCATTTTCAAGGACTTTTTAAGGGACAATCAGCCGTGCTAAATTCCGTGAATACTAATTATATCTTCAGAAATCCTGAATTCTAAAAGGTGAAAGATTACAGAATGGCTAAAGTTATGCTCACATACAGGTATAATCATGCTCCAGCAGTATAAAAAATACCTACAAACAATGATACTGCAAGTGTGCCATAAAACCCTCAGTGCGCCTTTGGAATTAGATTTTAAAGTACTTTAAATATTCCATTGATGTTAACTTCATATTGGCTATTGCTTTTAACAAAAGTTTCATTTCACGTTCTGGGCCTGATATTAAGAATCTCATCACCACTTAGTGCCGGTAACATCAAAAGACAATGTGCTTATCAAGTTGTCTTTCTCCAAGCTCCAAGGAAAGCACAAAACAAAAACAGCATCTGCTGTGGATCATCCCCTCCTTGTTTTCCAGGTTTGGAGCAGCCAAAACGAGGTAGCTATGACACACATTACTTTCCAATAATATTTCCAAGTCCAAGCAATTATAATATGGGCAATACAGCTGTCCTCCACACTGGACCTCTGGGTCCACCTCTAGCCCTAAATTGGAAGCTTGCTCTGCCCTGCCAGATGTTCTCTTGCAGCCCGTGTCCACACTCTGTAACTTGTCAATATGGCTTTCCAGTTTAATACTAATTTTCAGAAATATGTTAGTAGGCAATATATAGGGTACATATATACATAGAGAGGGGGGCAACATTTAGTCTTGGGCCCCGGGCCCTAGACACACACATCACACATCCTTCAAGTTCAAATCCCAGCAAGGCACCCCAAGCGCCCACCCCTTCCCACCCACCCAGGAGAGGGAAGGGCAGAGCTTGGAGCAGAGTTAAACAGACACAGCAAACAACACACTTTCAGAACAGCAACTTGGTCTAGTGCTGCAGAGCCCAGAATGCTGAGAGGGAGGGAGTACAGTTCG